AACATGACACGGGGTTTCAACAAAGGCCAATAAAATTTGAGCACGATTTTGCGTGACTCGGCAATATTTTGTTTTTTGAACACGTTTGGTTTTAACAAAAAACGCACCCGATTCTCTCGATGTCGAAGTATAAAAAAATGTACGTTCTTTCTTAGACCAAATTTGAACACGCACTCGGCTGGAAGGTTCTACGCGTTACCGAAATAACGTTTACGACGCGTTTGCAAGACTGTTGATTATTTTCTTCTTTTAAAGCTACCAGTGCACGTGTATAAATATTTTTTTCTATTTTTTTTTACATTATTGAGGGAATAAAGGATGGCACATCGCACATTTCTGTGTGATAACAGTGCAAAGACGTTGACGTATGCAATATTGGGCGAGACATACATAGGTAATAAACGATAATGACCAGACTTGAACGAATAGTGGCGGGTTTGTTCAGTTTTCTGGGTTCCGAGATGAACGCAACTGCTGTAATCTCTTCGCAAACACAAAGGATTAAACATTTTGCACGTGCCGAGATCCCATAAAATGGAGGTAATTTGACCCCGTGCGTTATGATATGACATCACGTAATCTAATTTAGATAGTAGTGATTTATAAAACGCAATATTGACCAGCGGTTTGCCCTTTGCTCCCAGCTATAATGAACGCACGAGGGCAGTTATGGCATAAACCCCAGACTACTAAAGAATAATAGCTTGATCCTAACTCAACTTCAAGCCGACTCTGATAACCCCGAACTACACCGCAGTTCATGTGTCGACGTCAGGTGTATACCGAGAAGGCAGTGATTTATAACCTGACAAAGTTCTTAAAGAAATCAAAGTCAATGTCACCAGCGTCGAAAACGATGAACGTGTGTGCTTGGGTTTGAATTACGTTTAAATTCTCACATACCTAGTCTAAGATTTTACCAACTGTTTTCGTGATAAGTTCCAACGTCGAGGTTGACCTTTCAAGTGATTGCGATATAAATGCCACGCCGGTGAGTTTAAGTACGCAAAAAAAAAAAAATGGCACGACAATACATATGCAAATGTTCACCCTTCGAGCCTCCTATCACGTGTTGTGCTACGAATATTTCTTTTCAAATTCTATTGATAACTCTTTTCATTGGCACAAGTTGAAACATTGGCAAGGGCGGGATTCGAACCCCAGCCACCTAGATTCCAGGGCAGTGCGTTGTCTTTCGTATAACAAAGATCGTGATACAAAAAATGCTTGTATTCAAGTTCTATTTGTAGGTTAACTCTCTCGTTAGCAAAAAATACGAGATAAAGATGTACTTTCAACCGCTCGCCTAAATGCCAAAAGCATGTTCATAGACGTGAATCACCATCAAAATAAATAATTCGTCGTGTGACTTACCTTAATTCCATATCAGTATCCATATCAGGGCACAGATTAGAACACTAGTGACTCCTATAATCAATGAAAAGCAGACTTCTCAAAAAGACTAAGAAAGACCCAATACAAGTTCCTTTATGAGCTCAATTGCCCAGTTTCGTTTTATATCTAGCGTGATTCAAGTTATCTAAATTTGTATTGAGCAGTTTTTCGTTTACCGTGTGTGCCGCGCCGCAACCCATGGTCGCTTGTCCCTTCTTTGCTATCATTGTGACGTTGCGGTTGTTGAATGATGTCTTGTTAGCGCGTCACGCCATGATCCAGTTTCAACAACACGACCATGTTGATTCAACGAAGTGAGCCAACGATTCATTCTCCGGTATAGTATGCTCAAAATTATTGCCGATTTTGTCTTTCAAAAATACAATATGAACGAACAAATATTTTCAATGTTGTTGTTCGATACTCCACACTGTACACAGCTATGAACCATACATGTTGCGTTTGTAGAACATTATTCGTCAGATGAAGAATCAAAACGCATGTGCAGTGATTATTACTGTACGTACCAAAATAACCAGTGTACATGCGTACTAGAGAATTGCATTGTTATGTTGAGCGAGAACTCAGATGTGTACGAGAAAGGCGTTTTTCAGACTCAGATAATCAGATAAATCAAAGCTCAATGAATCTGTCAATATATACAGACCGAAGCGAATTATACCATGATGACAACTTTGCGAGATCCTTGTCTTTACTGTAGAGAAGAGGAGTAATAAAATGAGGCACAGAATAGAAATCACCTTGGCGTGTTTCATAGTAGCCAAAAAAAAAAAAAAATCTCCCGATTTGGAAATATTTTGATTTCCAGTGACCTTAATTTATCAATTTCCTGTCTTTTTTTGTTCCCGTTAGCGCACTAGTAAGAGTTATATATTTACCAAAAAATTGCCAAATGTACTAATATGACGTGGTGAAAATATGAATGATGGTAGATTTAGTTACCCGCTCCATCGAGTGAAATAAAGTGAACACCTTCACATAGATCAGAATTGATCACTTGAACATAATATAACAATATACATAAGTAAACACCCCCAAACCCGTTACATTTGACAACACATTACATGTTTTACATTACAAAACGTATTAAACTTTACCAAAGTTAAAATCAACATGTAGTGCTTCTCGACAAATCAGACGTGTATCGTCAATACAATCAAACGTTGAAAACATCACGCATTTCTTACAAACAAATTAACATCTCTGAAAAACGCCACCACAAAGCATCCTCCGGGGCCCAGGCTAGCCACATTTGTATCTGAGCTGTACACATTCCCGTCGAAGAGGGCGTCCTCGCATGCACCTAATGAACTTGAAAAATAGCGACGTAACAATACCAACCACTGAAATTGTTGTTACGATTTAATTAAGACGTTGAATTTTGAAAACAATAAACAACACTGACACAAGGGCAAAACACTACTCATTCACTTATACTAATTAGTCATTTTCATGTTGATACATCAAATGATACCTTTACTCTGATTATGACCATCCTACTTTCAAATTTACTGACTAATTTGTCAACACAGCATCATATGCGAAAAATTGGGTATTGACATCTATAAATACATCACAACACCATAACCGTTGCTTTACGTAGATTTTCTACAATTCCGAGATGCACTCCATTTCCGGCAACATATCAACGGACCTCAATGCGTAATTGATACACCTTCCAGTACACAACAAACTTTTTCTTCTAAGAACATTTTACTGAAGCAGGTGTCGAAACGACATGTGACCTGAGTACAACACGGACAGAAATTGTTTTTTGAAAAACCTACAAAATATGTATAGGCGAAATCTACGCGTCTATTTTCCTTCATGTTGGATCTGAAAAATTGTTTTATCCGCCATTTGCATAAACTACAAACGAATGATTCCACCGTAGCTCTGACTGAATAGCTACCTATAAAAATACAGGTGGTAAGAACTTAGTCTATGGTCAATTCAACATAATAACGAAATGTATATCTATTCTGACTTAGCCAATGGTGTGCATTATGTATAATGCCATCCCATTACGTAATCGTCTGTTGTCTGTGCATAAGAAGGTGTTTGTGATGAAAATATAGTTTCTCAATATCTGTGCACGTTACTGAAACGTATGACGGCCGGGTCAAATCTGTAGCATACTTAGATGGGTGGAAGTTCACAAGTTATTGTTAATTGTAATTACATAATTCCATACATATATCATGTACACAAATCTACAGTGCACCGGATCACGTGGATGGCAGTGGTGATACACGGAATTAATGGGATCAACGAGGATAACTAGGGCAATGACCTATATGATTCAACTCCCGATTTTCCTTAATCTTGTCCCTATCTAAGAAGTAATATAACATATCGCAATAATGAGTTCATACGTTAGACCATTCAGCAAAACAACACGTCCGTCAATATCAATTCATTAATAGGACGGACATATCTTAACTACCGGTACTGAAAGCCAGTGGGCATTTAATAGTACCAATATTTGTGTATTTCATAAAAGTGGTACTGGCCATAATATGCAGCTTAGTTTGTTTTTATGGAAAAAATACTTTTTTTTAATCGTTGTCGTGTTGGTGTTGGTTATTTGTGTCTGTGGCGTGGTAGGTGAGCAGACAATCATAACATACTTTATGTCGTTTTAGTTGTTTATTGGATAATAAAAATATAGAAAAATATAGATGAATCAGGTGTTAGATTGCACCACGTTTTGCTCAATTTGGTCATAGTAGTTTTGTAATTTTTCCACATTAATAGTTTATGTTCATAAATGTTTATCCTTGTGTTAAAATAATTACGAATTATGATTTACGATCGCGTAAATTGTTATTACGAAATATAAGTGGCGATGTACTTTGCTGAGGGAACTGATTATTTGATATTTTATTTTGAAACGTTTCAGGTCTGTAGTAGAATAATTATGCACAGAAATTAACAATTTAAACATTATTTCAACTATTAAATTCACAATTCATATTGATAATTGTGACCCCTCTGTATAATGGATAATCCACTTATTTGACATAGACACTTTCTTTGACAAATACAGTTTAGTGCCAAGTGGCATGTAGGGCCACTCATGTCTGTTTTCTAGACACCTCCCCAGATGGAGTTCAAATTCATGCCTTTCTAAAAAAAAATACCGTGTATGACTAGACTTGTTGTTGTCAACACACAGTCGCTGGCGCCCGGAGTAACTATTCAACAAAAACGTCAGCACATAACAAAAATATGCATATTGATATGAAAGAATGGTCAAACTTAGCAGCTTATACGAAACATTCTTGGAGCGTATCCAGATCGGTGTAAAACTACAATATACAGACATAGGGGGACATTTCGAATAAAAACAACAACTTACATGAAACATTGTTCACTTTGAATTATTTGTTTTACTCAAATTCAGAAGCAAATACATTTTATTGTTAATCACATCTTAGTCGTAGACCTATACACGTCCACAATAGTTGAACATTATATTTGTAAACATAAATGTCTTTCAAATTAATAGATTCGTTATCGGATTACAAGAAGTCAATATTTTTTCTTAATAATCGTCATTATTCCATTATCAATGAATATACTGCATAGACGTGTGTAGGTGTAGAATTAATCATGAAATACACTCTATTTTTGTTAATTACATCTAATTTCATCAATTCAATGTGTACCACTAATTCATATATCAAAGTCCAGGACCTATACACGTCCACAGTAGTTTGACATATCTTTCAGAGACATGTCCCTCAAAGTATTAGATTCGTTATCGGATTACAAGAAGTCAATGCTTTTTCTTAATAATCGTCATTATTCCAAGATCAATGACTATACTGCATAGACGTATGTAGGTACAAATTCCTTGCATATATGGTTGTACACACTAGTGTTAAAACTGTCTTTATAGTGATTGTCTTGCTGATGTACATAAAAATTCAAATATTACATTTTTTCACTGGTGCTCGGCATTTTGATAAAGTAATGATATACACCAACAACTACTGATTGGTTATATTAAATCAAAGTTGCATTTTGCTTAAGTTGTCTTTTGCTGTAAAAAAAATGTCATGCGTACAATTTTATCTTAATCTCATCTTGGACCAACTTAAATCATGGAATTACACAGATTCGGAATGATACAATGCATGCACACGATGACAAATATGTGAGTACTCTGAATAATTGTTTTAAGAAACAAAAAATGAAACGTTTTCAACACAATTTTACCAAAAGCGGGCAGATCAATGATAACCAGTTTAGTGACAATATGAATTCAAAATGGCACCAGCGAACTTACTAGACCTACAAAAACGGTGTCTTACTATGTATAGATTTACACCAGATTAATTTTATTCGTTCTGTGCTTCCATCCACTCACGAAGATCAGTTGTCAGGAGTTTATCAGGTGTTTTCATCTGTTGAACAATGTTGCGACCAGTGAAGGCAAGCTGACCATCTTTAATTGCCAGAGATCTATCTGGCCAACACCAGAACGTCTCGTCAAATTTGTTGTCCATGTCGTCAACAACAACACGAACTTTGCTTGTATCGTAGGGGTCAGAGGTCACTGTATCAGGAATGATGTACAGCAAATCTCTACAGAATAAATAAACATTTTTGAATTAACACACATATTGTATTATGACGTATGTCACTTTTAGTCATCATATTGGAAATATGCAAACACTGTTCCCCTTAAATTTTCAGCCAATCGCAACCTGACGTTTGTACTGAAATATTTGAATGTATAATGTATTATCTATTTAAACCTATAGTAGAACATTTTAATCAAATTATAAATAACCATTTTTTTTTGAAAACCCATTTCTCCTTTTTCATTTTCCCATAATATGTGTTGGGCCAGTCAATGTCCCGTTTAGTAAGAACACATGTTCATCACAGGAATTTTCACTAATACTTCGGTGGTGAAGTGAAGACGGTGGGGTTGTGTATGCGTGAACTTGTGGTCGCGTGAGCCATTATCCAGCCATTGTTCAGAACACTTCATCATTTGTGTGATACCACGTGTTGCACCGTCCTTACGGTGAGGGAATGCAACGAGTGGTCGCGATGGTACATGTATTGTATAAATGAGGTGTGCATTGTACATCTAGGTCGACATTCCATCTTTGATCATCGGAGCAAAATCTCAAAAGTCTGGCTTGTAACATGATGTAAACATTGGTAAAACAATACAGATGCTGTTAGCAGCAATGATGTACTCGATAAGTCCTTACCTGGCCCTGTCTATTCTTTCCTCAATCGTGATTGGTTGTTTAGCGTCACTGAACGTAGTGCCCATCTTCCAGCCCTCAGTTGAGTGTGCTTCCAAGATATAAACCAAAATGATATCCGCCTTATCTTTATAGTCCATGTAGAGGGCGTGTAGTGCACCACCGTGTACAATGCCCTGGTACAAACAGAAATAAGTAGAAAGTTGATCAACTGCCATCCAATATGGCCTCGTTTATGTTCCCTGCAGTGAAGTATTGTGATGAAGTCGATGGGCATATAATTATAATATTATCACGTGATCGAAAACATGTCCAGTATTAGCTGCAAATGCCTTCTAATTGATATCCCCCTGGTTATTAATACTTTGAAGTTATTCGCAGCAAACTACAAAAAATACCTCGCTTTATTTTACGCACAATTTCCAAATAACAAGAGGTCATTCGGCCGCTTCAGTAATACCACACGTGATAGAGGGACTGTGGTAAAACCTTCAAAATCGTTTTAAGAACTGATAGATAACTCAGTTTTAGACGTATAATAATGCATGTAAAATGAAATGTTCACCCTAACAATGGTTGACATGATATAGTTTCAGCGAACCGAAGACCTCATTTGTCAACCGAAGCGAAGTCGTGGATAATATTAGTCTACGACGTCACTCGAACAAGTGATATCAGGTGATAAACTTTGTATCACAAGACCAAATCTAAGTGTCAAATCGATAGAGAAATTGTTATTTTACGGAACTACGCTTACGAATCATGACGTCACGTCTAAGACCGTTGGTAGCCGACGCTTTCCCGAGTGTTATCAAGAATTTTTTACGCTACTGCCGCGTGATTTGATTTCCCAAACTGTTTGAGCACACTCAGACTGATGACGTTTGTCGTGCATATCGCCACATAAAAATTAAATATCAGGTCACTACTGTGAATGATATGCATCATGGCCAAGTAATTATACATAATCCCCGCCATCCCGAATCTGTGTGACGTCATCGTTGTATCTCCACATTGTGACGTCCCACCTCGGTGATGGCGAATCTGCATGTATATTAAAGAACTATGTTTACCTATTAAGCACGAATCAGATTTGTACATTGCGATATGTGTCAATGTCTACCTCCATCCGGCTTTTACGGAAATAACTTTTCAAGGAGGCACGATGCGAGGCAATATTTTTAAAAACAAGCAAACTTGCCTTTACTATGTGACTATATTATTTGAGAGAAAATGTTGTTGCTTGTTCTTTCAGTCGAGCTTGTCTCATTAACTTGTCGGAGAAAGCGCAAGAGAGAAAAAAAGAAAAAAAAGGGAAACAGTCTGGAGCGTCGGAGCCACAACTGGGCGGATTTGTGAAAGTAGTTGAACCGCCTGAATTTATAGTAGTTCATTGAGGGAAACAAATATTCAAGGAAAGACCTAATAAAAGTAAATCACTGCTCTAAAACTTGTTTTACTCATAGTTCTGTGCTCATATATTGCATTTGTTATCCTCTGGGAGATTGCCTTCTACGACTGAGTGTCACAATGTTTGTCGGTGTCATAACATACATGTAATTATTATCTCCAACAACGGTCGACAGATATAAAGTGTTGTGACCCCAGCGCTCATCACACGTGTTCACGCTTCCTTTGATAGCCGCCGACACACTGCTGATAGTCACGTGATGCAATAAACTACACACATACTAATAGTAAAGAACATGGCCCAGATAACTCTCTTACCGATAGCGGGGGTCAGCTCAATGATGAGGCAATAATTAAAAGTGGTCGATCTTTGTTGATAATTAAATCAACCACGGGGATACGTTTTCCCGTTTCCATGGAAACTAACTCCACATCTTCCGGTACTTTATCTCCGAGTGCGACCCTGGGTTTGCGATTTGGTAGCATTCTTTCCGGCACTTCGAGTATACCCTTGAGCTTGCCAACAACCTGTGAATAAATATAAATCGTCAATAGTAAAATCTAAAATTCATTGAAGATACAATGTAACTGCAAGTATTACTGTTTGATACTGTATAATGACAGAAACCTTTGACTAGGATTTATCACTGAAACTGAAAATGCTGTGTGTGTTTTTTTTTTGCAGCGCCTACCTGGGTATTCGTACGATAAAACCATAACATTCTCTAATGCGCATGTGCACTGGTACATCCAATAACAATGCGCTGGAGTATAAGTTTTGATTTGTCGTCCAACAAATAATGTTATGTCTTATCTTCAAACGCAACATTACAGTTGATGATAAATCATAATCCAATTTCGTCTACAGGATGACGTAACCAACAACAATTGTCCATCTTACATCTGTTGAGTCACTAATTACATCTGCACCCTCTATTTCCAAATAAATAAATAAAACAATACGACCCACCGCGCGATTCCCAATACATACCTCAGGGTCATCTGCGAAATTGATGACTGCGACACTTTCTATCATCGCATCGTCTGGAATTTGACTCGTCTCGACCCCGGCATCCTTCAGTGCCTGTTTCGTAAAATGAACATGAATATCTGACATTGCCCTGACAACATCGGGTTTGGTAGGGTCAGCCTTCTCATTGAACATCTTCTGATACGCGTCTGATTTGCTGAGTTCCTTGTATCTATCGATGGCCTTTATAATCAATGATTTGTTTTTGGTGAAGTGATCTGCTTCAGCCATGACGTCAGATACTGTGGGTGTGCTGATGATATCAGAAAAGATAGAGTGTATATAGATTAAAACCTGGACACGGTATTATTTAAAGCGTTATAACAAGCTTCAAGGCATTAGAAAATCGCCTACAGTAACGAAGCGTGAGTCGGCGTTTAAAGGGCGATAGTCGTCGTGCCACGCATGCGCGAGATTTGAGTCTCATAAAAACAAAGACGGCGACTTTGACTGTTGCGCAGATCAACGAGTACAAACTGGGACGTTACCAAGCTTTAATTAGACATTTTTCAGGTGATTGGAAGGTATCGTAAGAATCAACGGCGGTAATTAATGCAAGTCGCACTCAGGTCAAATCTCATTCATGTGATTAGAAGAGCGCATGGTTTGCGGGAAAATCAATGATGTTCATCAACAACACAAATGTCGCACATGCGCAGCGCGACGACCACCGTCCTTGTACAAGAGCAGAGTATAAAGTGGGTGGGGGAGGGGGGTGATTCCAACCATAACTCATAACCTCAATCACAACCACCGCCACTACAATATCGGTTCTGGAATCCACTTTTGGCTCCCGAGGTTGAGGGGGTGATATAAAGTTCATTTCTAGCATTCGTTAGGTTATCAAATGGATATTGATAATAATAATGACCAAATTCACCCCAAACAAGTTATCCATGCTGCAGTCGTCATCTCTGGTCCCTTTGCCCACGTAATCAATTGTTCACTGAGCCAAGGAAAATGTCCTGACCCCCTCAAGGTTGCAAAAATTACCCCAATCTTCAAAAAAGTTTCAGTAACAAATGTCAGTAATTATCGTCCAATTTCCATTTTACCAATTTTTAGCAAAATTTATTGACTATTTAGAAAAAAAAAATATACACCCAATTTGGTTTTCGTAAAAACACAGTCCTAAGCTGGCTCTTGCAGACTAACACAGACATAGCTGCAAAACTTGACTAAGGATTCATCACTTTTGGCATTATTTTGATCTCAAAAAGGACTTCGACACTATTAATCATGACATCCTTATTTCCAAATTAGAGCATTATGGCATTAGGGGGCTCCCCTTTCATGGTTTAGAAACTATCTTTACAATCGCCACCAATCAGTTACTTTAAATAACGTTTCATCGTCATACACTCTAATTAAATGTGGCGTCCCTCGAGGTACAGGGTCCTATTTTATTTCTAGTCTATATTAATGATATTGCAAATTTAACTAACGCATCATATTAATTGGAAACCCCACATTGACAAAGTCAGGAAAGTAGTTGCCCCCAAAGTTGGAATCATTTCTCAAATTCGTCACTATGTTCCTAAATATATATTTCTCCATCGTCCGAATCGTACGGTTTCGCTAAAGCCGGCCATTCATAACCGACCCACGAATCCGTGCGTGATCGCGTTAGGAACAAACTGTATTTCACTGCAGTTAAATTGAGTCATTTGATTGGGCGCGCAAAAGAGCTGGCGCCACCAATCAGCGTGTATGCATGCGTGAATGCATGTGTTACATTTACATAATTTATGTTGAGACAGTTGATGTGCAATGTGTATTCGATTTTTTTGTTTTTTATGTATCTAAAGACTTCAAATTTGTTATTGCTATTATAGTACTCATTACATGCTTTAACTATGTCTTGGGCATCTTAGCTTAATACTACTTTATTATATATTGTAAAATGGTTAATTATTCACTGGGTTTTAACTTAGCTTATTTCGCTGGCTGGAAAATGCGCCAAATTAAAACCCAGTGAATATGTAAAATTTAGCATAGAACAAATAATATAAATGATAAAACTGTGAATTTAAAACCCACTGAATATGCCAGAAATGGTAAATCAGTTAAAATTTAAACCCAGTGAAAATTAGTCATTTTACAGTATCTTGGATCATTGATCACAGACTAGATTATTTTGAATAAACTAGTTCTGTGACCCCACTAGAAACAACAATATATACTATATTACTATTACTATCATTGTAATTACTACTATTATTTATTTATTTATTTATTTATTTATTTATTTATAAAATTAGCATAAGTATCGCCAAATAATGTGACTTATGCATTCAGTTTATTAGGTTTTGACCTGCGCTAATTTTAGTAACTGAGAGAATGCGATCGACACAATTTGTAGTAACGCACGGCATATTTTGTAATAAATAAACTTCGTTGTTTTATAATAAGTTGCTACGCAACATGTGTATATTTGCAAAGCACAGTAATATAGTTGTCCAATAAGCCAATGCAAGAATTAGTATGTAAACGTAAAAAGGAGAATGAGTGTAGACGACGGATGCGGGTAACAATCTGTGATGACATCGGCAATAAGTCCATTTCCAATTCCATACTCTATCGTTTCCCATGATGCTTAGAGAGAGGTCACGCTACGTCTAGTACATATATAAACATTTGGTACAGAAAGCAGCACTGAAACAAGTACTATACACAGCAAGCTCTGTTTTTTTCCAGAAACCAGCCATTTAGGGTGAGTTTTCTCAATATTGTCCAATATGATTAACTTAAAGAGCGGCAGTCGTCGCGCCGCGTCTTGTTCGATATGGGATTCATAGCGACGTATACAACACGTGTAAAATACATAGTTTATTTACATGAAATTCGAACATGCGCTGCGCGACGACCACCGCGCTTTAAACCTTTGTTAGATTGGTTCATAATGTGTTTTAATTACAAAGGAAGTCTTTATTTTTTTTAAATGACTTAAACTGTTCTTTCATTAGATTGGCTAAATTAGCAAAACAAGTTGTTGGAATGATAATAATAATAAACTAACCATGGGTAAAACAATTATTGGATTACAACAGTGATTCCAAAAAATATTTATAATAAAACAAAATACCACGCAGCACTGGCCTATATCGAAAGTGCTGTCCCGTCCACTCATTCAAGTAGTTGTAGGATGAGAGGACACCATTTAACTAAATGGAATATTTTGAGAGTGTGTAAATGGCGAAATCCATTAAATACTACCATTAGACTGACAGTGGCTAATACCGACATTTGCTTTACACGGACGTGCTCTCATCACAATATGGTGTATACGCGCATTATTGTAATAACGGTAGAATATTTAATGGTTGCGCCATCTGGCACATTACGGTAATTAAACCTGGCACGTGCTGTAATGATGACGAACTCTGTAAAATCATTTGGATTTTGTACTGGGCATTAAACATCCATTAACAAGGTAGAAATCAACGTAAAAATAGACGAGTAAAACAAATGTTTGAGGAAGTAGTTTGTGACGTAAACGCTATTCATTTGCATATTATATCGATTACTCTTTTCAGTACCTCGAATAGAAAACGCGCGCGTCTTTGGAACGTTTTCTCGGGTTTCGCGCATTGCATCAATAGAAAAGGTCGACATAGCATATTTTATGGTCGTTCTGCCAAGGTCTGTGACCCCACCAGAAACAACAATATATACTATATTACTATTACTATCATTGTAATTACTACTATTATTAATTTTAGTATTTATTTATAATTGTTTACTCCATGTATACACTGTTTCTGGTGAAATACATTTCATTGGATCATGTTAAAAATAATTAGCATAAGTATCGCCAAATAATGTGACGTATGCATTCAGTTTATTAGGTTTTGACGTGCGCTAATTTTAGTAACTAAGAGAATGCGATCGACACAATTTGTAGTAACGCACGGCATATTTTGTAATAAATAAACTTCGTTATTTTATGATAAGTTGCTACGCAACATGTGTATATTTGCAAAGCACAGTAATATAGTTGTCCAATAAAAACAAGCCAATGCAAGAATTAGTATGTAAACGTAAAAACGGGAATGAGTGTAAACGACGGATGCGGGTAACAATCTGTGATGACATCGGCAATAAGTCCATTTCCAATTCCATACTCTATCGTTTCCCATGATGCTTAGAGAGAGGTCACGCTACGTATAGTACATATATAAATAAACATTTGGTACAGAAAGCAGCACTGAAACAAGTACTATACACAGCAAGCTCTGTTGTTTTTTTTCAGAAACCAGCCATTTAAGGTGAGTTTTCTCAATATTTTCCAATGTGATTAACTTAAAGAGCGGCAGTCGTCGCGCCGCGTCTTGTTCGATATGGAATTCATAGCGACGTATACAACACGTGTAAAATACACGTAAAAATTATTTACATGAAATTCGAACATGCGCTGCGCGACGACCACCGCGCTTTAAACCTTTGTTAGATTGGTTCATAATGTGTTTTAATTACAAAGGAAGTCTTTATTTTTTTTAAATGACTTAAATTGTTCATTCATTAGATTGGCTAAATTAGCAAAACAAGTTGTTGGAATGATAATAATCATAAACTAACCATGAGTAAAACAATTATTGGATTACAACAGTGATTCCAAAAAATATTTATAATAAAACAAAATACCACGCAGCACTGGCCTATATCGAAAGTGCTGTACTGTCCACTCATTCAAGTAGTTGTAGAATGAGAGGACACCATTTAACTAAATGAAATATTTTGAGTGTGTAAATGGCGAAATCCATTAAATACTACCATTAGACTGACAGTGGCTAATATCGACATTTGCTTTACACGGACGTGCTCTCATCACAATATGGTGTATACGCGCACATTGTAATAACGATAGAATAATTAGCGGTTGTGCCATATGGCACATTACGGTAACTAAACCTGGCACGTGCTGTAATGATGACGAACTTTGTAAAATCATTTGGATTTTGTACTGGGCATTAAACATCAATTAACAAGGTAGAAATCAACGTAAAAATAGACGAGTAAAACAAATTTTTGAGGAAGTATTTTGTGGCGTAAACGCTATTCATTTGCATATTATCAGTACCTCGAATAGAAAACGCGCGCGTCTTTGGAACGTTTTCTCGCATTACATCAATAGAAAAGGTCGACATAGTCGGCATTTGCACAACTGGTCGACGTTTTTCCCGAGTTTGTTTTATCACGTATTAATTTGTAAGAAGTTGTCCAAAGTATGTTGAAATATTTGAGTAAGTGCAA